CCCCAAAACCCCAAAACCCCAAAACCCCGAGCTCCTGATTTCTGGTCAAAATTGATTACAATTATTAAAATTAATAAATATTTACATTTATATATCTTAACTATTTTTTCCCAACATTCTATCTTTTATCTCAACTAATCTAATATACTATTGGGTCATTATTCTATAACTTTCCGAAAACTAGTCAAATTAAACATATTAATTTCTTGAAACAATTCTTTAAACACTAACTCCGATGTAAAAGAATAGAAAAACTTTTGCTATTGTTGGTTCAACTTTCGTTGTAGCAGCACTTTGTGGCTTCTTAATGATTAACTAAGAAGGCAATATTCTTTAAAGCTCTAACTTCCTCATTGATCCAAATACAGATGATCTCTATCTGTTCAATTAGTTTGCTACAGAATATAGCAAGAGCTTTAAGACTCTTCCAGAATTCAAGGAAGCACTAACAAACTTCAAAGCTCAGAATGATGCTATCAAAAAATATAATGCCAACTCTAAGGACACAAAACTTGGCTTGAATCAATTTTCTGACTGGCCAGCTGCTAGATATGCCGAGATAAGCAGAATCAAATAATTTAAAAAGGAAGACTAAAACAATCAAACTTCTAATATCACAAGGAGTAGTGATCTTGGTAAGATAGCTGATGACTTGTCGAAATAAGATAAAACAAGTAATAATTCAAGAAAACTCTAAGCCATTCCAGCAAACTTTGATCACAGATAAAGAAATATTATTACTTCAGTGAAGAACCAATTAAACTGCGGCTCATCTTACGCCTTCGCTGCAATGGCTTAAGTTGAAAGTTATTACCTAATGACCAATCCGACAAAACATAAAAACGTCGATCTCTCAGAATAATTCTTAGTCGATTGCTCATACGGATTTATGGGCAAGAATTTCGGATGCAGTGGAGGTACAGTCGCCCACACATATATTTTCATGACAAGATACTTCTACCCCAAGGAATCAGTATATCCCTATAGTGGAAAACTTTAAGCCTGTAACTCTGCAGCCTAAAGTAAAAATCCCTATGGATATGTTTCTAACGCTATAATTATGACAACCACAAGCTCAGCAGCACTGATGCAAGTTGTTTACTAAATGCCCGTAGTTGCATTAGTTGCTTCTTCATCATCTGTTTTCAGAAACTACAAGACTGGCATTATCACTTCCTCTCAATGCACTGGAAATCTTGATTTAGCAGTGCTGATTGTTGGCTGGGGCACATCTGGCACTGTTAAGTACTGGATAATTAAAAATTAATGGGGCACAACTTGGGGAGAAAATGGTTACGCTAAAATTCAAATGACAGATCAGAGAGGAACCTGCGGTATTAATCAAGAGCTCTACGTTTCTTACGCAGTTTGAATACCTTACTGAGCTATTTGGTAGATCTCATAGAATTTCACTTCACATTAAAACCTATTTAGAAACTTGATAATAATTGACCAACATTCAAGGTTAATTTTTATAAATTTCTTATTCATACTCATTCAATCTCTAATATAAAATATACTCTAAATCACATCCACTTTTCAATTTGGGGTTTTGGGGTTTTGGGG